TATTAATATTATTATCGTTTTAATCGGAATCCAAGGGCGATACACCTTGTTTCTGAGAAAGAGCAATCGATAACAATAAACAGTTTCATCAAGCAGCAAGAAAATCTAACGGGGGAACTGAGATGGCTGGATCATTTCCACCATTAAGGTATAGATGATACGAGAAATATACCCTTCCATTTACCGATATTTGAGCGAAAACACAATATATAGGAGGTACTTACTTTGATACGAGTGGAATGATTGCGTCGGCACCTGCACGTAAGTTGGAGTAAGTATTGGCTAAAAAATAATAAGATATTTGCAACTCTCATAAAAATAGAATTCTAAATAGAAGTCTCTGAACTGATCAATTTTCACCAGCGCCTTGAATGATAAAAATTTCGGAACCAATCATAATCATAATTGGTTTCGAGGGTGATGTTTGATTTTTCCACGGCAAAATTTGAGAAATTATCTAGAAAATATAATTAGCGCAGTGGCTGTACGCATGGAGTTCCCTCCGAAATAAGGATGCGATAGAGTCAGGTTCGTTTTTCCAAATGTAGAAATCCAAACTGCTACATGAATTTTTGGAAAAGTGCGAGCATTCAAAGTCAATGAGCAGGATCAATCGTGGCGTCAGGTACAGTTTTCACCCCAGTAACGACGAGCGAGATGCACAACCCTTCCCTGTGTACAGAGTGAGGAAAATCACGGTAACAATATAAACTGATCATAAAACAGCTATGTGGCCGAGAGGTTCCATTTAACAAAACCATCATATTGGTGGAAGGTTACCAAATAAGAAACAATATTACTCTTCGGAGTGGCCTCTTCCTGCGTTGATACAATGCTCCTATTATGCTTGTCGCTGTGCTTTGCCTTACACGCTAAATACACAGCATTTCATAGGAAGTGGGAGGACCATGTTGCCACTCCTCCGAAATGATAAATCCATTCTGATGGTGTCAATTTCTCGACAATATGTGCACTGTGGGTGAACACCTAGTTTTGTACTGTGCTTCCCACTGACGGTCCACTCAGTCCGAACCATCAACCGAGAGTGAAGAAATTCAAAATTATCCTTACAGTCTAGTTCTGCCACATCCAGCAGAGGTCCTAGATGTCTCCAACTCGCGATTGCTGTTCTTATGTTGTGTGTGTAAGCCATCACTGTCTGGTTGGCCTTCACTAGCACTGATTCGCTTGCCTTTCTTCACTGGCCGGCAGCAGAATACCTCCTCGTCAAGGAAACAATCGACAAATGAAGCTCATCACGGAGTAGATCCAATGTCTTTTTAGCATCTTTGCTTTCTATTCAATTCCGCATCAGTCAGAAGTTAGGCACTTTTATGCATGTGAACTTTCTTTCTAAGGTGTGTGCAAAAACTCGTTGCAAGGGAGCGATGCTCTTTCTACTGCGGGCCATTCCGACTCCCCCACCCTCCATCGGGCCAAATGACACTATTGTAGATTCCTTCCCCTACATACGCTTGATGCTGTTCATGAGAGCAGCCAACCTGTACGGAATCACGGTCGCAAAGGCGCACTGTTAGGAGTGCGTTCCCTGCAGGCAACGGTGAGGGGATATCCCTAACACTCCGGTGGTGCAGCTTTTGCACGCCGGCTTCATATCCAGTGAGAGTTTTCATGGGAGAAAACAAGAAATGTCAAAGCGAATGTCACTGTGCGCGATTTGAATCATCAATAACCGCTGTGCGTGAGGTTTCAAGACTGACACGACCGTGTGGGCCATGCACTGCGTTTTATAAATATAGGTACACCCTATACTTTTGCTATTCTAAACTTGCTTGCATTTTTCGAAAATACGGTGATAACATACATAGCGAAGAGCCTCG